CGGTGTCACGTAGACATGGTCACATGGAGACACTTTCATTTAGGTAAATATGAACTTAAACCATACGAGCACACACACACACACAAAAAGATTTACTTTGGAGTTTCTTATAACTCATAAGTCATGCCAACCTTAAGAAGCTTCGACCTTGGAATCGCAAGTGCTTTATCTCCTTCCCGACAATTCTTCTTCAAGAAATTGTAAGCATGGTTCACTATAAACTTCTTGAACAAAGAAGAATCTTTCTCTGCCATAATCTCCGTTTCTCCCATTAGATAAACTATTCCTTTCTCTCTCGCTTTCTCCACCATCTCCGTTTGATCATCCACGGATTTCACCTGCACGACCCTTCCCGACCTAATCTTGTTCGACGATGAAGAATGCGTGGACCCGATTCGCCCCGACGAAGGGACGGAGTTAGACAAAGGAACAAGTGTAGTCTCAATATTTGGTTCCTCTTCCTTGTCTGTCTCGTCCACTTCTCCTCCTCCCGATATGAAGTACTCGTGATGGATGAATTCCTTTAAGTAATGAACGAACTGACGCTCGAACTCCTCAGGTTCTTCGATGTCTTCCTTGTAACCATACCTCACAACACAACGAAACATTCCGAAATCCTTTGGCTCCACGTAACGGAAAAAGAATCGTTCTGTTGGCGTCACCCGACTCACGGGAAGTGACTTGATCGATATCAAGACGAAAACAGAGTGGACCGACGAAAGATTTGAGATGTAGTGAGAGAACAATGGAGTTATACCGTGAACAAGCTCCGTGTAGAACATACCAATCCCCGGAACCCGGTTTACGTTAGGGGTTGTAGCCATTTGTATAGCGGTTTCACCAGAAATCTTCTCCTTCAATTCGTACTGGTACTTGAGGACGTGAACGTATTGCCAAATCGCCATCATCGACATTAAAACAATTGTTATCGCAAGCGGTAAATACCCACCGTTGGTGAACTTGTACATGACCGACGATAGGTATAGCATCTCTATGGAGCCAAACACGATCAAGAACATAGCAATCCACACTATGTTGGTCTTCCAAATAACAAGCATTATGAGAGTCACCATAAAGGTTGTGATGACCATGACGGTTACGACAGCGATCCCATAAGCGTGGCCTATCTTCTCGGTGGTTCTAAAGGCAAGGGTTACTGCGACGCATGCAAGCATGAGCAAGTAGTTGATCTCAGGGATGTAGACTTGTCCCTCGTACTTACTCGAGGTGTGAACCACCTTTACTCGAGGGAAACAACCCATACGTAGAGACTGCGAGATAATCGAGAAAGTGCCTGATATCATAGCTTGGCTTGCGATGATCGATGCTGCAACCGCCACCACAAATGTTGGCCAGTAAAACGGATCTGATAAGTTGCACCCAATGTTATATTGTTAGAAATACATATAAGCATCAAAGCTTAGAAAATACTTCCTCTCTTCTAAAAAGCTCCAATATCTAATTAAGTTAAAGTTGCATAAAAACATCGAAACAAAACCTCCAAACCCAAAATCCAAAAAACTGTTAAAATCTAGGTACTCTTATCATTTCTTGGCATAGTGTGAGTGCTTTACCCACTCGACCAAACCATTTGACCATGGTTTTTATTTTGTTTTATAAATTGTAAAATTTGAGTTAAACTAATTACCCGGGATTGAGTCGTAGAAAGTATTTGAAACGTTGGACATATGTTTAGTGAGGTACGCAGCCTGGCCGCAATATATCGTCATGAGCGCCGGATATGCGATAAATGAGAAACTAATCTGCGATATTTATATTTGGAAAAATCGTGTCAGTAAATTAAACACCAAATATGTGCTGTTTCGTATTCAGTCAGTG